GTGAGGAGGGGCAGTATGCTGAATTTTGTCACTGGAAAATTTCATTCCAGATATAGAACCAAGTGAGAGTCACCCTAAAAGGAACAGATGGAGGAGAGAAGACGATGTGGGGGAAACGGCCAGCATAGGGTTAGGCGAGGAGGAACTTTAAGGTACCAGCAGAAATTTGCCTGTGTCCACACACTGATGGGGGAATTATTTCCAAGAAGCACAAATAAGGATTTGATGCGCATCCGATCTGGGCAGATGGCAGATGGAGGATACAGATATTAAATCTTAACAGAACGAGTCAAGACTTTTTCCTATAGGACTGGACTCCTGGTGTAGCGCTATTGGATAATGTGCTGAACTAAAGTCGGTTTGAATAGCAAGGTTGGCAGTTCAAGTTCACCAGCTACTCCTCGGAAACCCTATACAGGGTTGCTATGGGTTGGAACTGACTCAATGGCATTTAAAAACAACAACAATCCTATAGGACAGATTAAAACTGCCCCACAGGATTTTGAAAACTGTTAAGTCTTTACAGAAGCAGACTACCACAGAGCAGCTAGGGGATTTGACCTCCAGATGTTTGGGTTAGTAGTCCAAAACTTAACTCAATGCACCACCAAGGCTCCTTATGGAACACACATGGAAGGTTCTGTCTCTACTTCTGTGTCTGTTCCAATCCACGTAATAAGATGCTGATTAACCCACATTATGTCTAGTTGAAAGCTGGTTTGATAATAAAGAACAAACAACAACAAAGAACTGAGGCAATATGGGAACATTCAGTAAAATAAAGGGGAAAAGAGAGTGTCCCATGCCTGGGCATGGGCATCAGGCTGAGCTGGGTCTGAGTTCTAGCTCAGCCATGAGGCCCTGGGCACATCATTCACTTACTATCACTAATCCTCTGTTTCTATCACTAGTCTGTCAATCTATTTCACCATGGTACCTTGAGTGTTGCCGTGATGCTGGGAAGCTATGCCACAGGTAATTTGAATGCTGGCAATAAATTGTTGTTGTTGTTGTTAAGTGCTGTCAAGTCGGTTCCAGGTTTCCAAGGAGCAAGTTCTGGTGAGCCTGAACTGCCAACCTTGCAGTTCAAAAGACTTTGTAGTCTGGCACATTAACCTAGAGCACCACACAGGCAATAAATAGCATCATGATAAATGGAGAAAACATTGAAGTTGTCAAAGACTTCATTTTGCTTGGATCTACCATCAACACTCATGGAAGCAGCAGTCTGGAAATCAAACAAAGTATCGCGTTAAGCAAATGTGTAGCACAAAACCTTCTTAAAGTATTCAAGAGCAAAGGTATCAGTTTTTAGGGCTACAATGCACCTGACCCAAACCATGGTATTTTCAATAGCCTCATATGCATGTGAAAGGTGGACAGTAAATAAGGAAGACTATAAAAGAATTGATACATTTGATTAATGGTGTTAGAGAAGAATATTAAAAGTACCATGGACTACCAGAAGAACAAACAAATCTATGTTGGAAGAAGTCCATCCAGAATGCTCCATGGAAGCCAGAATGGGGAGATTTTATCTCTTATACTTCAAACATATCACCAGGAGGGACCAGTCCCTGGAGAAGGACATCATGCTTGGTAAAGAGCACGGTTAGTGAAAAAGAGGAAGATCCCCAATGAAATGAATTGGCACAGTGGCAGCAGCAATGGGCTCAAGCTTAATAATGATGGTGATGTTGGCACAGGACCAGCCAGCATTTCATTCTGTGAGTCAGAATCGACTCGACAGCACTTAACAACAATCTGCAATTATGAGGAACAGAGAAGACATGTTTAAAGCAGGTAATCAATAAGTAAGAGTTGCTATTAGTATTATTAATACGCTATTCAGATCAATTTTTCATACTAAGAAACATTAGACTTACTGTTACCCTTGATTTTTTGGTTGTTGATATTGAACAACACTTAAAAATCATAAACACGACGAGGCTTACTCATAAGATAGAGACTGGTGAATTCCCTCAGACTAGGTCCTTACTCCCTCTTTTATCTGGAACTGAACTCATCCCCATGGATCAAATTTCAACCAAACAACAGACAGGTCTATGAGGGGAACACTAACACTAGGGAGGTTCGCACACCTCAGAGCAATCAACCATTTCAGTCAAAAAGGCAGCACTGATTCAAGAACAGAATTCAGAAGGGTTAGGAAAGAAGGAGGAATGGAAACAGGAAACACAGGGAGGAACTGGGATGAGTGATGTTACATTGTGGGGATTGCAGTCAATGATGTGAAAGAAAATGTGTATAGATTGTTGAATGGAAAACTAAAACTGATCTGCTCTGGAAACCTTCACCCAATTTGCATGAAAAAATGAAAACAAAATATCATTTCATTGTCAGCCTCAAGATTATATTTGGATGTCATGAGATGATATTAAAACGGGCAGCTGGTTGAGATGAGGTTCTTCCACCAGGTGACAGAGTTACAGCTCCCTCTACCCACACCGGCTCTGTACCGGGGAATGGACCTCCTGATATCAAGGTAAAGCAGTCAGGAGCTTGCCTGATGTTTCACTGAGTGTGGAAGGCTGTAGCCACATGCTCCAGTTCTTACATCACACCTCTGGTGGTGCAGAAAGAACCCAGCACCATCTGACTCCCTGTCTGCCGACGCTCTGGGTGAGGTGACGCAGATATGCCCTCTGTTTGTAGTCATAAGCTGAACTTTCTTCCAGGTGGAAAGCAATGCATCTTTGAGTGATGTACAAACTTGGGAAGCAAACCCTGCGTAGACTGATTTATGATCTGCTGCACAGCAGGTACTTAATTCATGTGGGGCTATGATGAGCTGGAAAATATGAAACTAAAGGACCTTGCAGAAGTGTAAATATCCATAATCAGCCTCGTCTCATCTACTTAAAAAAAAAAAAAAAAGTAGACTGGCAGTTATTCCACTGAGATTGGAAATTCATCAATAGCTTCATGGTTGTAAGCAGACCATTTGTTTGATATGACAGAGACTATGAAGTGAAGCCCCACCAGCATCTCTACATTAGCTCACCAGGAATTTAACAGTCTTTAGCAGGAATTTGCAAGTAAAAGAGAAATAAACAAACCAAATGCTGATCAAATGAAAAGTCATTATTTTCATCTCTGTCCTAAGGCATCCAATGCTTCCTGAATATGTGTGTGCTGTCTCCCGAAGGTACCAGACCACAGGTGAACAAACAGAGACCGTTGTTACCAAGTTAAAGGATTCCTTCCACCAATCATGTTGCTGTCAGTGATGTTAATCAGAATCTCTAGCATTTATAAGGAGGTCTAATTCTAGCTGCCCTATCCCTAGTACTAAGGAGCCACCATGGTAGTATCGTGGGTTATGAGTTGGGATGCTAACAGAAAGGTCAGCAGTTCAAACCCACCAGCAGCTCCACAGGAGAAAGATGAAGCTTTCTGCTTCTGTAAAGATTTAGTTTCAGAAACCCTAGTATCCCTACTACCACCTACTACCCCGACTTTGCCCTTCCATTGCACTTCCAATTGTACCTCTTTTGAATATTTACCCAGGAATGTACTCTACCTTAGCTACCAGTGCACTAAGAGAATATGAAATTGATTCTCCCTCAGTGTTTTGCACAAATCCTGGAGGCAGCTCTTATCACTGGAGTCATTAGGAAGGTAGATACCTATACCACTTTGAATGAAATAAAGAAAAATGTGTAGCAGCTAGCTTTTCTTCTGCCATAATTGTCATCATACTAGAATTTTAAAATGTCATTTCTATATATTCCCCTTTTCCCCCCTTTCCTATTCCCAATGACTGAAAAAGAAAAAAATATGACAAATAAGTTGAAGTATATTCTAGGTTCAAGCAAGTGGAAGAATAGTGATATCAGGCTTACAAAAGGGATTCCACAGGTCTCCGGTATGCAACAAAGCAACTTGATCCCCATAGTTATTTTCTAATTACATTTGAAACCTGTTCAACAAATGGTCTGACATATATCCTTGCTGTTAAAAAAAAGCAAAACAAGAGCTTTATGTCTCAAAAATTTAATCTGAGTACATAAATATTTCACTTGTAACCTAAGTTTACAACATCTCATGACTCTTTCGGAAATGTTCATCCTTGAAAACGTTTATATTCAGAATACTGTCTTTAAATCAGACTATAAAATGTCCAGCTATGAAGTAGATACCTAATGTTCTCTTTAATCACTTGAAACTACAAATGGAGAAAATGTTTTCGGCATCCGATAAATATCTTGAATGTGGGTAGGCAAGAACACCTTGAAATAATGCTTAAGTAATCACAATGCAAGTATTCTGCAATAGATGGGCGAACTGCTAATTAGACGGAGGGAAATAAAACTGTCATGGTCGGATAAAAGGATAAAGAGAAATCAGCAGTAATTACTGTTTTATCGTCAGAGAAAGTAGTATCAAACACAGCTCAATAAAAAAGGGAAGAAAAAAAAAAACCAAATCCTACAGCTCTCTAAGTAAATACCAGTATTCATTAAACAAGTACTTGGAGTAAAACTCAACTCAGAGACGAACAATGACATCCAAAAAAACCAATAAAAACAAACAAAAAATAAGTTGCAAAGAGTTGGTATATGACCTTTAGTTTTGGGGCATGCGGCACGAAGAACATAAAAATTGGCTATTTTCTTCAACTGCTTAAAAACGTTCAAACCAAAGCCACTCCTATCAAGTCAACTCTGACTCATAGTGACCCTCAGAAACCGTAAATATTTATAGGAGCAGATAGCCTCTTCTTTTTCTGCAGGAGTAGCTGGTAGGTTTGAACCATTGTCCTTGTAGTTAGCATCACAACATCTAACTCTCAGAGCCACTGGGGTTCCTTAAAGATTTCCAAGTCAGTCTTAAACCCACTGCTCATTAAGGATCAGAGTAAGATTACCAGTCTGGGGTTAATGTTTTAAAAGTTTCACTGGGACCAATGCATATGCAAATGGTCATTCACAGAGTAAACAGGTGTATGTTCAACTTTCAATTCTAGAGCAACTTACATCCTGTTGCTTGGAATGATTTTGTGTCCTCCTCGAAACCAGGTCACCTGGGGTCTTGGGAAGCTGGTGATACTCGGTAGGCTTAAAACAGCAGCGTGCCCTTCAGATACCATCTTCCTCTCATCCGTCTCCACGAAACTGCCCATGTCTGCAGAGAAGAATGACACCTTCTAAGACTGAGAGAAATCTTTCTGGAGCTAGACCTAAGCTGGAGACACCTAGACTTCAAACAGAGTCACTGACGGAGCCAGAATGAAGTATTAACAGGCAGCAGACGGAGCAGCGGGGCTGACGACTGCAGATACTGGCTGATGAAGAAAAGCGTGATGCAGAGCCAGGATCTCTGGAGAAACCCAGTAACCCTGGACCAGCAAAACCACATGGTCTTGGACTTGCTGCCATAATACATGCAATGTTTGCAGCTGGTATTACTATCAAAATAACTTGTTGGAGGGCATTCTAGAGCCCGATGAGGCAGTGTTCACAGAACCTCCCATGCAATCATCTTAGTCCCCTGCTACTCCAGAGTTGTTCTTGCTACCCTACTTCCTCCTTCGTTTTTGAGGTGACTGCCTGCTTAAAAGGTGCCCCAAAGGTGCAGTGGGTTAAGTGCTGGGCTGCTACCTGCAAGTTCGGCAGTTCACATCCACCAGCCTCCCAGAGGGAGACAGATGAGACAGTCTGCTTCTGTAAAGATTTACAGCTTCAGAAACCCTATGGGACAGTTCTACTTTTTCTATCAAGTTGTTATGATTCAGAACGGACTTGATGGCAGTGCTTTTGGTTTTGGTGAGTCTACTTAGTAGATCATATGGGAGCCCTCTTTTCTAACCACTGGTTTGTTGTTAGTGGGGTCTCCCTCGCCCTACTGCTGACTTGACGTGGGACAGTGAGGTCCTGCGCCAGTCTTTGCTCGCTTTGAAAAAGAAGGTCACAGGAAAAAACAAAATACAAAAACCACACCCGTTAGAATGTGGGCATGTGTAGCTAATTTTTAAATGAGTAGCAATGGAAAGTTTTGAGAACATGTCCTATGATAAGCAGGCGCAGACAAAAGGGGGGCACTCATAGCTGCTGTTGCTGGGTGTCATGGAGTTGGTTCTGACCCAGGCGACTCCATGTGACAGAGCAGGACTTCCCCATAGGGTTTCTGGCAACCATCTTTACAAAAGCAGGTAGCCAACTCTATTCTCTCCCATAGCCACAGGCGGATTTGAAACACTGACACATAGCAGCGAAATGCTTCAATGTTGCACAATTAAGGTTCAGTGCATTCACATTTTTGTTGTTGTTAAGTGTCTTTGCATCATTTCCAACCCATAGTGACCCTGCATAGGGTTTCCAAGGAGTAGCTGGTGAGCTTGAACTGGCTACCTTTCAGTTCAAACTGACTTTGCAGTCCAGAACATTAACTCACAGCGCCACACCAGGACTCCTGCATATATACAGATATGGCATCAAATACGAGGGTGAGTCAAAAAGTACTGCTACAAACAGCAACCTTTATGAAACAGTTTTCAATGGGAAGCTACTGTGCCAGATGTATCTTCCACCTAGGTCTGCACACTTCTGAAGGTGCCATTTCCATCTCTCTAGGACTCCTAGTATGTCACTATAGGATCAGCACTGGACAGAAGCAAACCACAAGGCCAACAGTTCAAATCCACCAGCTGCTCCTTGGAAACCCTTTAAGGGTTGGCATGAATTGGAACCACTCTTCAATTTTACCATATGAAAATGACAGCTTAGGCATCATTGCAGTAGTGTTCCTTTTCGATGTTCTTTGAGTTTTGAGGACCAAAAGGAGTCTGAAGGGGAAAGATCAAGGCTGTAGGGTGAATGAAGTAAGGTTTCCCTTATTTGAAATTCTCATTAGACAGCCCTTGCTATTCCCGAAGAATGAATAGGTGCATTGTCAAGTTGGGAAAAAATGTTTCTCAGCAATGCAGTTTTTTTTCCTAGCCTTTTTCTCAGCAATGCAGTTCTCCATTGACTTAAAACATCTTCAATCATAAGTCTCTATGTCCTTTAAGAATATCTGTCAAGGTGACCCTTCTGGGAACCCCAGACTGTTGCATAACCTCTGAGCTGACCGCTCTGTCTTGAACTGAACTGAACCAAGCAGATCCCCTTGTAAATCACTGTTTTGATTGGATCTTTTCACTCCTGAAGGCACCCTAATGAGACTAAGACAAGTGTATCATGCAGAAAACTGGTCCTCAGCCACCTGCTGATGCAGAGACATATTTAAACATGTTTCATTTAGGACTAAAGATGTGCATGCATGAACTGGAAGCCTAGTAGCAGTAATATTTGACATATTATATTATATTGTTGTCTAAAAATATCTGTAGTTACTTTAAAGTGAAATGTAATTTGTTATCAAAAGGAAGGAGAAAAAGAAGATTAGAGAAATCTCAGAGCTAAAAATAAAGAAACCAGGCTGTGGAAATTTGAAAAAATCCAGGACAATTTTATAAAGCAGGATTTGATATATTCTAACAAATGCCAAGATGTTAACGTATTCAAATATGTTTTGGGTATTGATCTTCAGTTTTTGTTTGTTAATTATGTTTTCAATTATTCAGTTGAATAAAAAGTTCTGAATTATTCTACGGACAGACTTAGCTGAGGGACTTAACCAAGAATTCAGAAAATTTTAAAGCTTCCTAGCTGTCCTCATTAGTAGGTTGTTGTTGTAAGTGCCGTGGAGTCAATTCTGACTCACAGAAACCTTGGAGTTTTCGAGGAGCAGCTGGTGGGTTTGAACTGCTGACTTCACATTCCAGTGAATTATCCTGCAGAGTGACATACATTCTCGTCAGTATTGTTGTTGTTGTTGTTAGGTGCCTTGGCGTCGGTTCCAACCCAGAGTGACCCTGAACACGGTTTCCGAAGCTGTAAATCTTTACAGGAGCAGAAAGCCTCATCTTTCTTCCACAGAGCAGCTGGTAGTTTTGAACTGCTGACCTTGCGGTTTGCAGCCCGATTTATAACCACTACACTACCAGTCGTTAGTATAGTGGTGAGTATTCCTGCCTGTCACCTGGGAGACTGGGGTTTGATTCCCCAACATAGAGGAAAATTCCCTTTTGGAGTCCTAGTGTGGCACTATAGGATAAGCACTGGACTTCTAACCATAAGAAGGCTGCTATAAGTCAGAACCGACTCAATGGCACTAACAATGACAACAGTGGTTTTTTTTTTAAAAAAACATTGAACATGTATAGTGCCAAAACCTCTCTCTGGTATTCTACAGTCATTAGTATACATTCCATTAGTAATGACTTCAGCAGAGTCACAGATTAACAGAATTACCAGTAGTCATGAGTCACAACTGTGGAAAAGCAGAAGACCCATAAATTACCTTATTTTATATGTTGTTGTTTTTAGGTGCCGTCAAGTCAGTTCGGACACATAACGACCCTGTATATGGCTTCTGAGGAGTGGCTGGTGGGTTTTAACTGTCAACCTTGTGCTAAGCAGTCCAGTATTTATCCTACAGCACCACGTAGGAACATCAAAAACAACAGGTCTTCACCCCCTACACACAGAGAGTAGACAGGGATGGGCAACTTGGACATTGGCTACCCAAAATGGGGGGGGGGGGAGGTGTAGGGCTACAAAGGCAAGAAGTGACTGGCTTACAAGCTTTCAAGAGGGAACCTAGAGACAGAGGGCCTAGAGGAAGGCAGAATCTCCAGTGAGTAGCATCCAATCTGCCTAGGCGGAGGTGATGAAATGAAATGCAGATGGGTCTCTTGTGATACAATAGTGAGTAATTGTTATCAGGACTGATTATGAAGGTTGGAAATGTAAAGGTAGACATTTTATAACAAGGAAGGACATGATTAACTTTTCAATCTAGGAGCAGAGGTCCCTAGGACCATCAATGGAGAAAAGCTGAGAGCGGGATCCTACCCAGAGAAACAGTGATGCCTGAGATGGAGGCAGAGACACTGACATGGAGTGATGGAGCAGCTGGGGGCTTTAGATCCAGAAAGGGAGAGTAACTGCGTACTGAAGACTGGGCGGGGGGCGGAGATAGTGTAGGGGGTAGGCTTGCATGGTATACCCTTAGGTTGGTTGATGATGCATGGAGGGTATTGTAACCATGGCAATGAAACAATGTACGATAGAATGAATGTAAAACTAATGTTCTCCCATGTAAAAAAAATCAGTTATTTTGTAATTCAACGGTTCCACTAACTTTTTGAAGAAAAAAATAAACAGGTCTTACTGATATAAAAATGTCACAGGAGAAAATTTTGCCACACCAACTCTGAAATCTTTCACAACATGCTAAGACATAATTACAATTTTTTTTAAACATTTTTCATATGATTTCTTTTAAACGAAGAGGTATTTTGTTAGCAAACTCAAAACATAACAAAGCAGTCAGTTCATTTCTGTGAGGTGCCACCTTTCACAGGTTTTAGATAAAAAAAGAATTAAGTGCTCTGAGTTGGCCAATTCCCTCTTCTTTTCCTTTTAAAGATCACTGTATTTTTTTACCCAAATAAAGCTCCTGGTACAAGTTTACTAGACAGACTACATCAGAATGGTTTTACTGAATTTAATAATTTCTGTTCATTACATGGGGCACTTTCAAAAAAATTTGTAGAAAAAGTGCCATCATCCTTTACTTTCAGTTTTCTGTGAACTTTTTGAAGCCCCTCTCCTATGCGTGAGTGCATTATTTACAGAGACATGTTACTTGCATACATACAGAAACCACCTTACAATGGAATTCAAGCTCCTTGCGTTTCAATATCTGGTACAGTGTTTCCAAAGACTTCATCCCCACAATGGACTTACCAAACTTCATCCCCACAATGGACTTAGCTACTTAAGAATATACTAAGTCACTATTGCATTGCCCACGCAGCTAGTGGAGTTCTAAGCAAATAATCATTGGAAAGAAAGGATTGTGAATTGATAAAATTGTATCTGAATGAGTTTCAGTTTCTATTTAACAAAAGGGAAAAGCAAAGAGGAAGAATGGAAACAGGAAACACAGAACGTGAAATGATTGATGTTGCATGGTAGGGAATACAGTCAATGAGATGAAGCAAGATGTGTATGAACTGTGGAATGGAAAACCGATCTGCTCAGGCAACCATCACCCAATTCACAGTAAGAAGTTTTTTAAAAACAATTATAAAATCAAAAACACTGAATCTGCATGCAGTAAAAGCAAAGAAAGTGCCGCTAGCAAACTTGTTCATAAAACGCAGCATGTCTTTGTCACTTTTGTTTTGCGGAGACACAGAGCTTTGGAGGATTCTTAATCTTCTAAATTAAAAAAAGAAGAAAAAAAAGCAACATCTGCCTCATTAGTCGATCATGCAATCAGCCAAATTAGCTGTTTACTTATCTATTTCAACCAGTTTTTACTTAGCAATTATTCTGTTCCAAACAGAATCTTCAAAGATAAAAATCTCAACTTATTTACAATGGTAGGAAGTGATTTCCATTAGCTCCCCACAGACATTTTGTGACTGTTATTTAAAGTTTGGGAGTCTGTTCTGTGTACACATACATGCGACTTGGACTTCTGATTTTCTTCGCAAGAGGGCTCCCATCCTGTTCCGTACCATGCAGCGGTAAAAGCCAGCATCAAGTCTCTGTAGAGATGGGATGATATACCTGTCAAAGACCAAAAGGAAGTGTCAGAGACTTCGTATCAAGATAGGCACTGGTAGCTTCTCCAGTAGAAGATGCTCAACAGATACTTTACTTCTGTGAATTAATATCTGTGCCATCTATCTCTAACCAAGGAACTTCATGACTGTCGAGGTGTTTTTTCTAGTATTACTGAATCAGTATCTGGCTCCACCACTAGGCTGTCAACATTCCCTGCAGCTAGGGTCTACCTCTGCTTTACTCATCATTGTATCCTAGGGGTCACTGATTGGTTTAAAATTAGGAAAGGTATGCTCCAGGGTTTTCTTCTTTCACTATACTTATTCAATCTGTATGCTGAGCAAATATCCGAGAATTTAGATTATATGAAAAAGAGTGTGGCATGAGAACTAACTCTAATGCTACGTTCTCCTTTATATAATTCAGAGTCCAGGCACTGATGACAGGTTCCTCATTTCTGGATTTGAAAGAGAACAAACAAACCTGTGTTGGAAGAAGTACAGTCAGAATGCTCCTTAGAAGCCACTATGGTGAGTATGGAGAAAGACTCATTAACAACCTGTAATATGTAGACGATAAAACTTTGCTTGCTCAAAGAGAAGAGGACTCAAAATATTTACTAATGAAGATCAAAGACCTCTTTCTTCTCCAACACCATAACTCAAATACATCAATTCTTCTACGGTTTTCCTTATTCACTGTCCAACTTTCACATGCATATGAAGCTACTGAAAATGCCATGGCTTACATCAGGTGCACCTAATCCTCAAACTGACATCTTTGCTCTTAAACACATTAAAGAGATTTGCCTAATGCAATACAATATTTGATTTCTTAACTGCTGCTTCCACGGTGTTGACAGTTTATATTGGCAAAATGAAGTCTTTGACAACTTCAATCTTTGACAACTTCAATCCTAGTGGTGAGGATTTTTGCTTTCTTTATACTGATGTGCACGGAGATCTCTCACACTTTGGACATATTATCAGGAGGGATCATTCCCTTGGGGAAAGAGATCATGCTAGGTAAAGTGGAGGGTCAGTGAAAAAGGTGAAGCCCCTCAACAAAATGGATAGGCACAGTGGCAGCAGCAATGGGCTGTGAAGCTCAACAATAATTGTGAGAAAGGCACAGGACTAGGCAGTGTTTTGTTCTATTGTTCATAAGGTTGCTATGGGTTGGAATCGACTCTATGGCACCTAACAACAACAATCCTTGCTTCTAGAAAAGTTAATGGGTATCATGGTTACCTGTTACTCACTACTGGCTGGATGCATGAAAAATGTGAAATAACCTAAAATTAAAATATTTAAGACAGACTTTCTAATCAATAATTATGGTATCTTTGTCTCTGTTAAGCAGCTGACCATTGAGTTGACACTGCCACAAGGTGAACTCATTGATATCAGGGCAGAACTGGGCTCCATGGGGGTTTTGATGGCTGTTTTTTTAGCAAAAGATAACCAGACTTTTCTTCCAAAACCCACTGGGTGGGCTTGAACCTCCAGTGCTTTGCAGTCAGATACGTTAACCATTTTTGTCACCCAGAGAGTCTCTGATTCCATGGAGACTCAGAATATTAAATACTAAAAAGTATTTCTAGAACTGGCAACGAAGTCTAAAAAAGTCAATTCACTTTATGTGAAAGTTCAAACAATATATTAAGATTGAGACTTAGATGTCTCAAAAGCAAAGGAGCCCTAGGATAAGCACTGGACTGCTAACTGCAAGGTAGGCAGTTCAAACCCACCAACCACTCCTCAGAGACCCTATACAGTGTCACTATGAGTCGAAAGTGACTCAAAGGCACTTAACAAGACAAAGAAATTTTCTCTGCTTGTGGTGCAAATATCTCATAACAGAATTCATACACTTCCTTTTATCTTGATTTCTCCACATACATATTTCTGTTAATTTCTACATACTCATTGATTTCTCAAATTATTCCGGATGACTGAAAAGTATTTTCAACTCTGATGCTACAACACTAGGTTGTGCTCATGAAGAACCTATTTACACACTAAGGGGCAGTCATTCCAACAGAACAGAAGGACAATGTGCGGCTTAACATCCTGAAAGGTATGCATCAGGGTCGCATCCTTTCACCATAGCTATGCAATCTGTACGCTAAACAGGTAATACAAGATACTGGGCTATATGAAGAACATGGCAGAAGGACTCATTAAAACCTGTGAACCACAGATGACACAACCTTCATCACTGATAGTGAAGAGAACTTGAAGCATTTACTACCATTAATATCAAAGATGATATAACACCAACATAAAGAAAATCTTCATAACTGGATCAATAAGCAACACCATGATAAATGAACAAAAGATTGAAGTTGTCAAAGATTTCATTTTACTTGGATCCACAGTCAATGTCCTTAGCAGCAGCAATCAAGAAATCCAACATTGTAATCCTTTGGACAAATATGTAGCAAAAGACTTCTTTAAAGTGTTAAACAGCAAAGATGTCACTTGAAGGCCTAAGGTGCAGGTGCAAGGCATGTATTTTAGTTACCTGATATGCATGTGAAAGCTGGATAATGAATAAGGAAGACTGAAGAATAATTGATACATTTGAATTATGGTCCTGGAGAAGAATATTGATTATATTATATATTATGGACTGCCAGAGGAGTGAGCAAATCTGTCTTGGAAGAAGTACAGCCACAATGCTTCTTAAAATTGAGGATGCTGAGACTTTGTTTCACAAACTTACCAGGAGGGACCAGTCCCTGGAGAAAGACATCATGCTTGGTAGAGGATCAACAACAAAAAAAGGAAGACTCTCATTGACACAATAGCAGCAACAATAGGCTTAAGCTTAACAACAATTGTGAGGAAGGTACAGAACCAGGCTGTGTTTCCTTCTGTTGTACAAGAAGTTGTTACGAATCACAACAGAACACATGGCTAAGTACAGCAACATGCCTACAAAGGAGCCCTGCTGGTGCAGTGGTTAAGTGCTCAACTACTAACAGGAAGATCAGTGGTGGTGGTGCAGCAGTTAAATGCTAGACGACTAATCACCATCACTCATTGGAAGAAAACACAAGGCCATTGGCTCCCATATAGTTTTACAACCTTGAAAAGCCAATGGGACAGATCCATTCTGCCCTACAGTCACTAGGAGTCTTAATATACTTGAAGACAACAGATTTCATTTTGTTTGTTTGTTTTTTTATGTCTATAAATAATCATCCTTCAAATCAATGTCTGTCTAAGAACTGTATTCAACTGCAACAGAAAAATAAGAGCTAGAAGATACAGTTGATATAAGAGATCTACTTTAGTTTTACAGTTTCATAGAGAGATTTTTTTAAAAATTCACAAACAAGCAAGTGTATATGATCAATGACTACTTGAGGTGAGAGTGTGTTAGTTCCTGAGCCCGCAGCTCCAAGCCACCTGAGATGGTGCATCAACAGGTCATAGGCCATGATCACATTCAAAAAACGAGAACAGGAAAAGCAAGAGGGTTGAATTCTGCATAATCAAGGGGATGTGTCCATCCTAAGAAATGCAAGCAGGGTACTGGTTGGTAGATTGTTTTCCAAAATAAAAGAAGAAAATCTGGTGACATTACCTTTTACAAGAATGATGTTCTGGTTAAACTTATCTACAATTTAAACATGTTCCTCTTACAAAGTAGAATCAGAGAAACTTTTTATTTCTAATGTCAGGCAAAAGGCATAGTGTGTAATCGGTTTTATTTGCTCATTTCCTGAGCACACCTTGAAAGCACTTCTACCCAACTAATTGCTCCTCTTTTTGTTCAAGTGTGTCCAATTAGACAACCTGGAAAAAAAGGAACACATTGGCATAATTTTTAAGTGAATAAAACATTTGGACAATACCGGTAATTCTGCATTAAGCAAATATTAATCAGACAATGTTTTCCCTCCAGTAACCTTCTTACGCTCCTATGGCAGAATTAATAAACTCTTTGATGGAGAGAAAAAATAATAATATGATGGCTGAGTTTTCGTCTTCAAAAATTCATTCTAGTATGAGTAACGAACGGTTCATCTACAACAACAACAAAAAACTAATAATTAGTGAAGATGATCAGAATAATATCAACCTTAACTGAAGGAGTCAATGCAATTTATTTAAATTACAAATCAAGACTAGACAGCAAGCAGCCCTGATTATTCTATACTGCAATTATGATAAAGACACGTTTTGAGATTAGGTTAAAACAAAGTCAGCAAAAGTTTTCAGAAAAGAAATGTCACCAGTCATTGGAGTACAAGCTTGAAAAAGGGCACACACAGTCATGTCCTTGCAAAACATCTGCATTTCAAACTTGTTATTAATTCTACCTTTTTATGTTTTTTGGACACCTGGTGTGGCATATAGGATCAGCACTGGATTGCGAATCACATGAGCGACAGTTCAAACCCACAAGCTGCTCCTCAGAAACCCTATACAGTGTGGCTATGAGTCAGAACCAACCCAACGGCACTTTAACAACAATGACAATAAATAGATTTTAAGTGCTTATGAATTTCTATCGTCGTCCTACATATGAATCCACAAAAATAGCACTGCTTTCAAACAGCAGGCAGGAATAGGCACAAAATTGAATATTAGGCATCTGCTGTTTTCTACTACTGCTTCTAATGCCTCGCTAGGGGAAAAAAACATGAGACACAAAAAGTTGCAAAGTCCTTCACCTACGATGGGAATTCCTACAAAAAGCATGTTCACCTAACAGATGGGGATCGTCATTGTAAGCCTATTGTTTATAAACACACATTTTTAAGCAGAGCAAGTTTCCTGGCCCTTTATACAAAAGTAAGATAAAATCTTAGCACCATATGCCACGAAAATATTGGAAATATCTGCTCCTATTTCACATAAACAAAGCAGGACATGTTTGTATTTGCTGGGTCAAGGTTAAACCAGACTAGAGAAGCAGAATGCTTACGAGGGGCAGTATATTATCAGGAACAACAAATCAAAGACAGTCAGACACAAAACTTCAACCAG